AATCGACTCCTCCTCCTCCTCCTCCTCCTCCTCCTCCTCCTCCTTCTCCTCCTCGCCCTCCTCATCCTCCTCCTCCTCCCTCCTCCTCCTCCTCCCTCTCCCTCTCCTCCTCCTCCTCCTCCTCATCATCATCATCATCATCATCATCATCATCATCATCATCATCATCATCATCATCATCATCATCATCATCATCCTCATCCTCCTCCTCGCGCTCCTCCTGCACTACTGGATCCCTCCTCCTCTCCCTCCTCCTCCTCCTCCTCCTCGTCCTCCTCCTCGTCCTCGACTCTTCCTCCTCCTCCTCCTCCTCCTCCTCCTCCTCCTCCTCCTCCTCCTCCTCCTCCTCCTCCTGTCTTGACTCGGACACAGAGGACGCGAGTTTGAAGCCCGAAGCCACGGACAAAGCCGCTCTTACTGTCCTAGAGGGCCACCGTCATGCTCTCGCGGCCGCTGCCCCTGGCCCAGACGGAGTCCCAGAAGAGGAGCTCGTAGCCCTGCAGCAGCCTCACCCCGCGACGGATCTCCGCCAGCGACTCGTTCTGGCCCATCCCCTCCGCGATCACCGCGGTGGCGGAGTCGTCGAAGCCCGGCACCACGGCGGCGAACCACGAGAAGAAGCCCACGTCCTCCTCCGAGAGGTTGTAGCGGGCCACGAGCGCGCGGCCCAGGCGGCCGCACATGCGGCCGTAGGCCGGGAAGTTCACGGCGAAGCCCGCGGCGACCGCGCCCATGCCGCTGTAGCCGGACAGCTCGGCCAGGAAGCCCGTGTAGGCGTGGGCGGTGGGCATCGGCTCGTGCGCGGCGAGCTGGGCCGGAGAGAGGCCCAGGGCGCGGGCCGTGCCCAGCAGCTTCTCCCGCGCCACCGCCTCTCGATGATCCTCAGGACGCGAGTTAGCCCATTGCGTGTGTGTGTTACCCCGTTCAGCCCCACCAGTCGATCATCACAGCGCCTTCGTCGTACGGAAGGGCCTCGGGGGGCAGACACACGTGGGCGCTAACACACGTTCTGAGGATCACCGAGCCTCGGAGTCCACCGAGCTCCGGAAGAAGGCCTCCGCGGCGGGGCTGCCCCCGTGCCGGGCCAGGGCCACGGCCATGGAGCGGAGGTCGCTGGTCTCGATGGAGTCCGCGGTGCCGTGCCCTCGGCACGAGGCGGTGTGCCCCCACAGGCAGTCGCACGTGAGCCCTCGGGCAAGTTCGCGTCGCGACGATGGACCGTTCAGCCTCGAACGGTCGTGGCTTTCCGATGGCGCGGAGCCTTCGGCTTCGGCCGAGTCTGTGCCACCGGCGGCGTTCGGCCTGGAACGGCCGCGCCTGGGTCGCCGCCGCGCAGGCGCGGCGCGAACATACCGTACCCCTGCATGTCACATTAGTGAAAAGACCTGCTGTGGCTCAGAGCTCGAAGGATGCCTGCAGCCAGGTGGACCCTAGCGGGGGTGTCTGATACCCCAGCGTCGATCGGACGAGCGGGGGTAGGGTCTGCAAGGGGTCGCAGCCCCAAGGCTCATGCATTTGTACGAGTTCCATGGTTTCTAATTACGGCCCAGATCCCGAGTTTGACGGAATTCCCGGTGCTACTCGGGGGCCCCCAGGATGTGGCGCATGAGCCTCCTAGACGTCCCTCCCGCCCACAACGGCGTCAAAATCCCTCTGGACGGCCCAGGAAGGTCCCAATAAAGCTTCAAGGCCGTCCAAGAGGATCACAAGATGGCCAAAGACACAGTCCGACTGCATCTTCGCTTGGTCGGGCTTCCAACGCTCCAAGACACCCAGGAGATCCCCAAGATCGCCCCAAGACGGCACACGAGGCCCCCGAGACGACCCCAAGACGGCCCAGGCGGCCTCCAAGATGGCCCAAGAGGGCAAAACCCGAATTTACATCTCGAGCCCCATGAAGATGGCCCCCGAGACAGCCAGCATGCCCCCAAGAGGCCCCCAGAAAGTCCCAAGAGGCCCCCAAGACGGCCCCGGGACGCCCCCAAGACACCCCAAGAGGCCCCCTAGAGGCCCCAAGGCCCCCGAGAGGCATTCCCAAGAGACCCCAAGAAGCCTCTAAGAGACATCTTGTCTGAGACCTGGGCACAGTCGTGGGACTGGCCGAAGGCCACTCGATCCGCTGCCCCCTGTTGCTTGCACGCGGGTTTGTTGGCGCACCGAGGCTCAACCCGCCAGCCACCTGTGCGAACTCCAGGTGCTAAGGCAGAGGTACCCATCCTCAAGATGGCCCCTAGGTGGCTTCAAAGATGGCAAAGATGGCCTTCAAGTTGGCCCAAGACGGTCCAAGATGGCCTCAAAAAGGGGGTGCACAAAGCCTCCAAGTTCACCCGAGATGCCTCCAAGACGGCCCAAGATGGCCTCAATGCGACCCAAAATGCCCCCATCACGGCCCAAGAGGGCTCCAGGGTGCACCCAGGAGGCTCAATGTTATGGGTGTCCATTGCGATGTTCAATGATTTGAGTGTTCTCGCCGTGTCGAGTTTCCGACAGCATCAGACGGCCCGAGACACTTCCAGGATGGCCCTCCAGACAGCCCAGAGAAGGCCCCAGGACGCCCTCACGAAGGTCTGAGATTACCTCCAAGACGGCGAACGGCGAATGGCTCAAGATGGCCCAAGATGGCCCGCAAGACTGCTTAAGGCGCCTACAAAAGAGCCCAAGATGGCCCCAAGATAGATCCAAGACGGCCCAAGATGGCCTGAAGACGGCAAAAGAGGCCCCCGAGACGCTCCAAGTTGCTCAAAGAGGACCTCCAGGAGGCCCCCAGGAGGCAAAATCACAGTGATGTGTTCTGCATGTAGAGCAGAGTTTCGCGATATCGCCCTTTCGGGCTTGCGACGGCCCAAGCGGCCTCCAAGATAGCGACAAGGCAGCCACAGAAGCCCCCACGAGGGCCCTGAGACGGCCCCAAGGCTCCGAAAGAGACCTCCGACAAGTCTAAAAGCGTCCCAAGAGGGCCACCAAGACCAAGACGGCCCAGTGCCCCAAAAAAACAAAAGGAAGTCCTCAGGAGGCCCCAAGAATTCCTCAAGAGGCCTCCTCCCCCTCCTCCTCCCTCCTCCTCCTCCACCTCCTCCTCCTTCTCCTCCTCCTCCTCTACCTCCTCCTCCTCCTCCTCCTCCGCCTCCTCCTCCACTCCTTTTCCATATAAATACCTTCCCCCTGTCGCACCCCGAGGCCAGTTTTTGGTGCGGACCAGGCGTTTCGCCTGAGACTTCCTCACCATGTATTACCCTGGAGCTTAAAAAGTGGCAACAGCTTCACAGATGGAGGGCGGGTCGTTTTCGAAATGTGGCTCTCGCCTTAGCGCCGCGCACATTCGTTTTAACATTTTGCAGGAGTTTCAAGGATTGAGGGCGGGTCGTTTTCTAAACGTGGTTCTCGCCTTAGCGCCGCGCACATTCGTTCTAAAAAATTGCAAGAACTTCACGGATTGAAGGCGGATTTCAAACTGTGGCTCTCGCCTTAGCGCCGCACACTTTCGTTTAAAAAATTCAAGAATTCCACCGATTGAGGGCGACTCCTTTTCAAAATGTGGCTTTCGCCTGAGCGACGCGCACATTCGTTCTAAAAAATTTGCAAGAGTTTCACGGAACCCCACAATCAGCGTACCAGAAATGCTGTTTTGGAGGGATTCAGGATTATGAGGGTGCAACAGATACGTTGATTCGCAATGTTGAAGTCACAAGAGTGACTTTCTGGCACGATTCAGGATCGTCAAAAAGAAAAATCAGGTTGATCCGTGGCGCTGGAATCCGGAGAATCATGTTTTGGCATGCTTCAGGGTCTTCAAACGGTTGTCTTCCAGTGGACATGAACCGTTGTGGGGGCCTATGAAGAGGGAGCTTGGAGGGAGGGTTTATTGTAACATCTTTGATGACTCTTGGGTTTACACTGGTCCTCTTCCTCTTCCTCCTCCTCCTCCTCCTCCTCCCCCTCCTCCTCCTCCCACGTCTGTTCTCCCGCCCCTGGGCTCATGGACCTCATAGCCCAATAGCTTGGGCAAGACTTCGGCCCAACGGTCGGCAACACAGGGAGTGCAGGCCGCGCCGGTGGCGTCCGCCGCAGGCGTCTCCGATACTCCTCGAGCAGCACGAGCTGCGCCACCCGCAGCGGCATCGTCCCGGCCTCCGCCGCCCTCACCAGTGGGTGCCCCGCCAGCGCCTCCTCCGTGCGAAGGTTGAACGGCTGCGACCTCAGCCAGCCGAGCACCTCGCCCGGCGCCAGGCCCTGCGGTACCGCCTGCTCGTCCTCTGAGATCCGACGTCTCGAAAAAAATGCAACATCGCAAAAAAAAAAAAAACAAAAAAAAAAAAAAAAAAAAAAAAAAATCACGCCCGGAGCCCTGGGCCCCACCTTTCTGCGCCTTTTTCGAACCGCACCGACGTGTGAGGCTCCTCGGGCCCGAAAGATGGAGCGAAGACGCCCATGGTGAAAAAATCGCAACGCCCGGATCTCAGGGGGTACCGCCTGCTCGTCCTCGTCCTCCACCAGGCCCTCGGCCGGCCAGGCCACCAGCGCGGCCCCCTGCGCGGCTGGCCGGCCCCGCCCGTGCCAGCACGCCTCCACGGCGGGCCCCGCCGCCCAGCAGCAAGCCCCGAGCAGCGCCAGCAGCCCCGCCGCGGGCGCCGCGCGGCGCAGCACCGCGCAGCTCTGCTCGGCGGCGCCGCCGCGCGGAGGGGCGCACGCGCTCTAATGGGCCGATTTCTCGCCACCGCTACCATAGATAGGAAAGGGAGGAGGAGGAGGAGGAGGCGGAGGAGGAAGAGGACGAGAAGGAAGAGGAGGACCTCCCCATCGTCCCATTTCCCCGTCCGACCTATGGTAGTGGTGGTGGAATACCGGCCCATCACGCTCGGCCCCGCGCCGCCCCCGAACGCCGGCAGTGCCACGTAGGCCCAGGCCTCGCCGCCGAACATCCCAGAGCGGCGGCGCCGGCGCTCTCCCGAGAGGCAGGCCCGGAGCGAGGGCCCAGGCAGGCCCAGGGCAGGCCTGTAGGGCAGGCCCGGGGCAGGCCCAGGAGGTTGTTTTTCTAGTTTTTCCCCACACAATGCTTGCACATGGGGGTTTTCACGTCTGCTTTAAAAATCTGGGCCGCGTGACCGGTCTGGCAGCCGTGTTGTCGCCGTCGCCGCCCCGTCGCCGCCTCGTCGCCGCCTCGCCGCCGCTGCTGTACTGCACGAAAAAAACCGCGCCTCGGGCGCGCTTTTAAATCGATCGGAACATAGATTGCACCATAGATATTGCACAAAATTAAATGCACAACGTTGATTGGTGAACACGGGCTGCTTAACATGATTTCTCCGTTCTACTGAACAAATAGGTTCTACCACCCTCCCACCCCCAGGTTTATCTACCCAATTTTTCGCATTGCACTTTACATACGACTCTGACCCCATGTCCATCCTACCTGTGAACTAAAATTATCCCAGCTAGGCCGATATCGCCCCCGCGCCATCCTCTGCAAAAAAACATGCGCGCAAACTCGTTTATACAAATCATAAAGTTTCCTGGATCCCAGGCAAAAGATTAAACGAAATGCACACGCGCGCGCCGTCGCGCGCGCATGCCGACAATCCCTGAAACACCTTCGGTTCCGGAAGGACCCCAAAATCGAGTGTCCTAAAAAATCATTGCTTTATCATTATATATGTATGTATGACAAAAAACGGTTTCGCAACACGGATGTTCAACAAAAGCGCGCGCGCTGTGGCGAAGCCTTGGGAACATCATCAGCTGTTCAACATATTCCTAAAATGCTACCAAGCGGGCTTCGCTCGCGCGCATGTCGAAATCGTTCGAACGCCCTCGCGCGCGTGCTGGGGTGGCACGATCCGTGTCAAATAATACCACGCGAGCCACTCTCGCGCGTCTGCCGCGCGCGCATGTCGACTTGTTTCCAAAACCTTCATCACCGAAGCGAAGACGCCGTCATCGTCGTCGGCGTGAGCAGCATTGGCGCCGTCACTGGCTGCCCCGCCGTCGCTGTCAGCAACGTCACCAGCATCGCTACTATCATCATCGTGTCTACCCTTGTCGACGTTGCCATGATACCGCGCCCGCCCAAGTCGCCGACTCGAACTGAAGTGTCCGCTGGGATGTGCCGAGCGGTCAGCACCACCGCGCTCGCGTTGGTCGCGCCAAACTAGCTGGCCGCTGCGCGCGCGAGCACGCACGGGCTAGCGCGGCCGCAGAGATGCACCAGCCAACACCCAGCACTCATCGCAATCGCTCCCGCACGGGTTTTGCAAACCAAGTTGCGGGTGGGTGGGTGGGATGATTGCGCGAGCAGTGGAGTTGACAACATCAAGTTCGGCAAGTGATTTGCACGTCACATAGCTTGCACCACATAGATTGCGCAACCTAGATCCTCCTTTCTGCAAGACTCTACCCCCCAACCCCGGCGTTATCCGCCCCCCTTTCTCGGGTATGTAAATCAAACATTCTGACCACACGTCCATCCTAAATATGAATTCACACTATCCCAAGGGAGCCGGCATCGACCCCCCTGAGGTTCCCTGGTAAAAAACGATACGCGGGGACATCTTTTGCTCTAACATAAGACTTATTCACAAATCCCTTGCACAAAACGGAACGAAAAGCACACGCGCGCGCCGTCGCGCGCGTGTGCCAAAATCCTCCAAAAACCTTCGGTACCGGAAGGATTTCGCAATCGAGCTTTAACACAAAAACAAAACAAAAAATATCTCGCAACACTGATTTGCTAAAAAAGCTTACGCGCGAGCTCTTGCGAAATCTTAAGAAAACCAGAGGCTTTTAAAGATTTTCACAAAATGCTACCCAACGGGCTTCGCGCGCGCGCATGTCGAAATCTTTCAAACGGCCTTGCGCGTGTGCCGTCGCGAGAATCCTCTGCAAAAAACAGAACGAAGTGCAGACGCGCGCGTCGTCGTGCGCGTATGCCAAAATCCTTCAAAACCCATCGGCTTCGGAAGGATTCCAACATCGTGTGTCCAAAAAACCTACAAACACATAAGGTTTCGCAACACGGATTTTCAACAAAAGCGTGTGCGCGCGCTCTTGCGTCGTCGTCGTCGTCGCCGTCCTCCCTCCTCCCGCGTCGTCGTCGTCGTCGTCGCCTACGTCGTCCTCTGTCTTTCCTCGTGTTCGTCGTCGTCGTCCTCTTTGGCATCGTCGTCGTTTCCGTCGTCGTTGTCGCCGTGGTCGTCCTTCCTCCTCCTCCCTCGTCGTCGTCGTCGTCGTCCGTCGTCGGCGTCTCGTTGTCGTCCTTCCAATTTCGTCGCCGTCGTCGTCGTCGTCGTCGTTGTCGTCGTCGTCTTCCCTCCTCCCTCGTCGTTGTCGTCGTCGGCGTCGCCGTCCTTCCTCCTTTTTCGTCGTTCGCGTCGTCGCCGTCCTCCCTCCTCCTTCGGCGTTGTCGTCGTTGTCGTCGTTGTCGCCGTCGTCGTCCTCCCTCCTCCCTCGTCGTCGTCTTCGTTGGCGACGTCGTCGTCGTCGTCTTCGTCGTCGTCGGCGTCGGCGTCGGCGTCGTCTTCGTCGTCGTCGACGTCGGCGTCGTCGTCGTCGCCGCCGTCGTCGTCGTCGTCGTCGTCGTCTTGGAGCCCTCGGGGGCGCCTCAACGCTCAGCACGCATCGCAATCGCCCCCGCATGGGTATTGCAAACCAAGTTGCGGGCGGGTGGGTGGGATGATTGCGCGAGCAGTGGAGTTTTCAACTTCAAGTTCGGCAAATGAGCTGCACAACATAGATTCGCCCCAAAAAAATTCTACCACCCTCCCCCCCCCCAGGGTTAAAGATCACCCGGGAACCGATGCAAAACACGTAGGAATCTGACCCAATACAATACCTGTGAATTCATACTATCCCAACCAGGCCGGTATCCACCCCCCCCCCCATCTTCTGGAAAAAAAAAAAAAAAAAAAATGCGCGCACACTTGTTGACCAAAAATCAACAATATTCCAGAACCCCTTGCAAAAAAAAAGTGCACACGCGCGCGTCGTGGCGCGCGCATGCCGGAAACGTTCCAAAACCGTCGGTTTCGGAAGGATTTCAAAATCGAGCTTCCAAGAAAAACATGTATATATGTGTATATATAACACAGGATTTCGCAACACAGATTTTCTGAAAAATATTACGCGCGCGGTCTTGCGAAATCTTAAGAAAACCATAGGTGTTTCAACATGTTCAAAGAATATGACCAAACGGGCTTCGCGCGCGCGCATGTCGAAATCCTTCAAACGCCCTCCTCTGAAAAAAACAACATAACAAAAACTATTCATGCACACGCGCGCGTCGTTGCGCGCGCATGCCGAAATCCATTAAAAAAACTTCGGTGTCGGAAAGATGTCAAAATCGAGTGCCCAAAAAACATACAAAAACACACGGTTTCGCAACATGGATGTTCAACCAAAGCGTGCGCGCGCGCTCTTGCGTCGTCGTCTGCGTCGTCGCCGTCCTCCCTCCTCCCTCGTCGTCGTCGTCGTCGCCCTCGTCGCCGTCGTCGCCCTCTGTCTTCCCTCGTCGTCGTCGTCGTCCTCTTTAGCATCGTCGTCGTTTCCGTCGTCGTTGTCGCCGTGGACGTCCTTCCTCCTCCCTCGTAGTCGTCGTCGTCCGTCGTCGGCGTCTCGTCGTCGTCCCTCCTATTTCGTCGCCGTCGACGTCGTCGTCGTCGTCTTCCCTCCTCCCTCGTCGTTGTCGTCGTCGGCGTCGCCGTCCTCCCTCCTTCTTCGTCGTTCGCGTCGTCGCCATCCTCCCTCCTCCCTCGTCGTTGTCGTCGTTGTCGCTGTCGTCGTCCTCCCTCTCCCTCCTCCCTCGTCGTCGTCGTCTTCGTCGTCGTCGTCTTCGTCGTCCTCGGCGTCGTCGTCGTCGTCGGCGTCGTCGTTGTCGTCGTCGACGTCGGCGTCGTCGTCGTCGTCGGCGTCGTCATCGTCGTCGTCGGCGTCGGCGTCGTCTTCGTCGTCGTCGTCGTCGGTGTCACTGTCGTCGTCGTCATCGTCGTCGTTGTCGTCGTCGTCGAAGTCGTCGGAGGCGTCGTCGGTGTCGTCGTAGTCGTCGTCGGCGTCGTCGTCGTCGTTGTCGCTGTCGTAGTCGGCGTCGCTGCCGCTGCCAAGTGCAATTTGGTACCCACCGTCACGGTCTTAAGAGGTCTTGCGGGTGGGAGGGTGGCATGCTTGCACGAGCAGCGGAGAGGACAGTCTCAAGACTGTGAACGCGAACTGCATGACAGAGATACTCCTTTTAAAAAAAGAATCAACTCTACCCCCCTGGGAGTTAACGGTTTACCTTCTCATATTGCAATTTACTTATGATTCTGCACACTCGTCCATCCTAAATATATGAATTCTGACTATCCCAGCCAAACCGGTATCGCCCCCCCCCATCCTATGCGTTGATCAAAAACCACAAATATTCAAGAACACCTTGCAAAAACACGGGACGAAGTGCACACGCGCGCGTCGTCGCGCGCGCATGCCGAAATCCTTCAAAAGAATTTGATTTCGGAAGGATGTCAAAGTCGAGTTTCCAAAAAACATGCAAAAACTCACGGTTTCGCAACACTGATTGGAAAAAATCTTACGCGCGCGCTCTTGCGAAAGCTTTTCTAACAAAGAAACCATGGGATGTTCAAGATTTTTCCAAATAGTAACACCAAACGGGCTTCGCGCGCGCTCATGTCGCAATCTTTCGAACGCCCTTGCGCGCGTGCCGTCACGAGAATCCTTTGCAAAAACAGGACGAAGTGCAGACACGCGCGTCGTCGCGCGCGCATGCCCAAATCCTTCAAAAACCTTCGGTTCCGGAAAGACTTTTAAATCGAGTGCCCACAAAACATGCAAAAACACATGGTTTCGCAACACCGATTTTCAGCAAAAGCGTGCGCGCGCGCTCTTGTGTCGTCGTCGACGTCGTCGTCGCCGTCCTCCCTCCTCCCTTGTCGTCGTCGTCGTCGCCGTCGTCGTCCTCTGTCTTTCATCGTCGTCGTCGTCGTCGTCTTGGCGTCGTCGTCGTTTCCGTCGTCGTTGTCGCCGTGGTCGTCCTTTCTCCTCCTCCCTCGTCGTCGTCGGCGTTTCGTCGTTGTCCCTCCTATTCCGTCGCCGTCGTCGTCGTCGTCGTCGTCTTCCCTCCTCCCTCGTCCTCGTCGTCGTCGACGTCGCCATCCTCCCTCTTTCTTCGTCGTTCGCGTCGTCGCCGTCCTCCCTCCTCCCTCGTCGTTGTCGTCGTGGCCGCCGTCGTCGTCCTCCCTCTTCCCTCGTCGTCGTCGTCGTCTTCATTGGCGACGTCGTCGTCGTCGTCTTCGTCTTCGTCGTCGTCGTCGGCGGCGTCGACGTCGTCGTCGTCGTCGGCGTCGTCATCGTCGGCGTTGTCGTCGGCGTCGGCGTCGTCTTCGTCGTCGTCGTCGGTGTCGCCGTCGTCGTTGTCATCGTCGTCGTTGTCGTCGTCGTCGAAGTCGTTGGAGACGTCGTAGGTGTCGTCGTAGTCGTTGTCGGCGTCGTCGTCGTCGTTGTCGCCTTCGGTTCCGGAAGGATTTCACAATCGAGTGTCCAAAAACATACAAAAAACACATGTTTCTCGCAACACTGATGTTCTAAAAAAACTTACGCGCGGGCTCTTGCGAAACATTAAGAAAACCATAGGCTTTTCAAGACTTTCAAGAAATACTACCAAACGGGCTTCGCGCGCGCGCATGTCGAAATCTTTTGAACGCCCTTGCGCGCGTGCCATCGCGAGAATCCTCTTCAAAAAAAGGGACGAAGTGCAGACACGCGCGTCGTCGCGCGCGCATGCCCAAATCCTTCAAAAACCTTCGGTTTCGGAAGGATTTCAAAATCGTGTGTCCACGAAACATACAAAAACACAGAGTTGCGCAACACGGGTTTTCAACAAAAGCGTGCGCGCGCGCTCTTGCGTCGGCGTCGTCGTCGTCGCCTGCCCTCCTCCCTCGTTTCCGTCGTCGTTGTCGCCTTGGTCGTCCTCCCTCCTCCTCCCTCGTCCTCGTCGTCCGTCGTCGGGGTCTCGTCGTCGTCCCTCCTGTTTTGTCGCCGTCGTCGTCGTCGCCTTCCCTCCTCTCTCGTCGTTGTCGTCGTCGGCGTCGCCGTCTTCCCTCCTTCTTCGTCGTTCGCGTCGTCGCCGTCCTCCCTCCTCCCTCGTCGTTGACGTCGTTGTCGCCGTCGTCGTCCTCCCTCCTCCCTCGTCGTCGTCGTCGTCGTCGTCTTCGTTGGCGACGTCGTCGTCGTCGTCGGCGTCGGCGTCGTCGTCTTCGTCGTCGTCGACGTCGGCGCCGGCGTCGTCGTCGTCGCCGCCGTCGTCGTCGTCGTCGTCGTGTCGTCGGCGTCGTCGACACCGTCGTCGTCGTCGTCGGCGTCGTCGTCATCGTCGTCGTCATCGTCGTCGGCGTCGGCGCTGTCGTCGTCGTCGGCGTCGTCGTCGTCGTTGCCGTCGTCGTCGAAGTCGTCGGAGACATGGTCGGTGTCGTCGTAGTCGTCGTCGTCGGCGTCGTCGTCATCGTCGTCGACGTCGCTGTCGTCGTCGGCGTCGGTGTCGTTGCCAAGTGCCATTTGGTACCTACCGTCACGGTCTCAAGAGGTTTTGCAAACCAAGTTGCGGGTGGGTGGGTGGGATGTTTGCAAGAGCATGGGATGTGTCAAATCATTGGTAAAAATGAATTGCACCACATAGATCACTCCATTTAAATATACATATATATACATACCACGAATATATATATATATATATATATATATATATGTATATATATATTGCACAACATGAATTGAACAAAATAGGTTGCACCACATAGATTGCACAACACGACTTGCACAACACAGGTTGCTAGAAACACACACTGCTTGGGCTCCACGCTGGCCAATATGTCTGGTAACGGTCGTCCCCCAGGAGGGGGGGGGGGATCGGGGCCCTGGGAAGCAGTAGCGCTTCGGCGGGATGGGGCACGTCGGGGCGGGGGCGCGCTGCGATCGCCATGGTGTGCGCGTGAGCACCAGCATGTTGGGGGGTCTGGCCGCCCCCCCCGCCCCTTTCGTGCGATCGTTACCGTGACGGGTGGGAGAGAGGGGGCCTGGCTCGGGCAACGACCGCTCCGCGCCAGAAGATAGAAGACAATCTCTGGGTGATCACGCCCAGCTAGGCTAAGGGCAGCCCTACGCCGAGTTTCTCCATAAGCGTCGGGGGGACGCCACCCCCGCCGACAGCCCCACGTCGACCCCCGTCGCGGGCAGCCACCGCGCGCCAGAGGCGTTCCGACCCCCGTCGCGGCGCGACGACGAGGCGAGGTTGACCCCCGTCGGGGGGTACCCCCCCACGCTTTAGGAGGTGGGCCTGGGGCAGGCCCGGGGTAGGCCTTCCTCCCGGCTTCTGGTATGCGGGCCAGAAGTGGCCGCAGACGCGGATGGCAGGGCGGATGAGCGCGGGCAGCCACAGTGGCCTCGGGCCAAAGATGGCGAGCTGCACCCACGCGTACGCGCAGACGCGCGCGAGCACGGCAAAGACGATGCTCAGGGGCGCCCTGCCGCCCAGAGAGGGAAAATGAGCAGACGGAGGAAAATGAGGAGGAGGAGGAGGAGGAGGAGGAGGAGGAGGAGGAAGGGGACGAGGAGGAGGGAGAGGGAGAGGGAGGGGACGGGGGAGGGGGAGGGGGGGAGGGGGAGAGGGAGGGACGGGGAGGTGGAGGAGAGAGGACGAGGACGAGGACGAAGAGGAGGAGGAGGAGATGGAGGAGGAGAAAGAGGAGGAGGAGGAGGAGGAGGAGGAGGAGGAGGAGGAGGAGGAGGAGGAGGAAGAGGAGAGGGGCGGGCCCAGACATCCGACGTCTTGGTTCTCTGTCAGCATGGGGCCCTTGGAAGTCCCGACGCTTACCCGGGGGGCGGGGGGGCTGTTCGTTCCGAGCTGTCTCGCGACGGTCCCGGGGACTGGCGAGGGCCCCCCATGAGGCTGGAAACGGCGAGAAATCCGCCGACCCAGTCGGCGTGTGGAAAACACTGTTCTGTCTGACCCGACGTCGTCGTCATTGTAATCGTCATCGTCGTCGAAGTCGTCGTCGTCGTCGTCGTCGTCGTCGTCGTCGTCGTCGTCGTCGTCGTCGTCGTCGCCGCCGCCGCCGCCGCCGCCGTCGCCGTCGCCGTCGCCGTCGCCGTCGCCGTCGCCGTCGCCGTCGCCGTCGCGTTTTGCCCCCCTTTCCCTGGGCCCGTCGCCGCCCCCCCCCTTTCACTGGGCCTCCCTCCTCAAGCGAGCTAGCCAAAGCGAAACCAAGGCGAAATTGAGCACCGTCGCAGTTGAGTCGAAGGCAAGCCCCTTCCCTTTGATCGCTCCCTCCCCGGGGGGAGGCCCTGGGGGGGGGCCCTGGTCAGAATGCCATGTTCCATCGGGGGGTCCTGGAGCCCAAAACGGCCCAAAGACGGCCCCAGAGGTCCGCGAGACGGTCCGACAGGGCCCCGCATCGCCGAACAATCGGTCCAAGACGCCAAAGATGGCCTCCTGAAAGCCCAAGCACGGCCAAAACGCTCGAAGGGGCCTCCAAGAGCAGACCAAGAGGGCCCCAACAGGATTACCCTGGCGACGTATCCAACCGCTGCGCAATGCTGGGCAAGAATACTTCGGGGCACTTTATACAAAGGGGGAGCACAGTGGCGGGGCCTTCAAAGGAGCTTGACTTCAGCACACCTCTCGCGCATTTCGCGCCCCATCATGGACCCCAGATGCCAACAGCTGACCTGCGGAAGCGGCAGCACGGGGACGCAGGGGCGCAAGGGGACGAGGGGTGGGGGGCTGGAGGGAAAGCATAGGCATGTCACCTCTGGATCGCATTCTGACAACAGCCAGAAAATATAGCAGCAAGAAAAAGGCGGCTGGACGGAAGGGGGTGAGGACGAGAGGAGGGCAGCGGAAGCAGGGGGACAATGTTTCTAGGCGGAAGCGGAAGCGGAGCGCGCCAGCAAACAGGCGCACTCAATGCAAGAAATCCGCAAGGCCGAGCTGCTCTGCCAGCAGCTGGGCCTCTTTCCGGCACTCTTCAGCGCAGGGGCTAAAGGCACGCAGGCGCGCCGCGAGGTCCGCGGGCGGCCCGCGAGAAGGGAACTGCAGCCCCGGGTCCCCCCAGCAAGCCTCGAAAGTAGCGACAATGTCAAAGATCGCAGCCCACCAGGGATGGCGAGATCTAGTTTGAATCTGCGGCAGTTACCCACTGTGGTGGCACCCTAGCAGGCCTCGAAAGCGGCGACAGTTCCGCAGATCGCAGCCCCCCAGGGATGGCGAGATCTAATTCGAATCTGCGACAGTTACCCAGTATGCTGGCACCCTAGCAGGCCTCGAAAGCGGCGACAGTTCCGCAGATCGCAGCCCCCCAGGGATGGCGAGATCTAATTCGAATATGCGGCAGTTACCCAGTCTGCTGGCACACCAGCAGGCCTCGAGTTTCACAGATCGCAGCCTCCCAGGGATGGCGAGGTCAAATTTGTATCTGCGTAGGACGTCACTGTGCTGGACCCCCCCGCAGGCCTCGAAAGTGGCGACAATTTCACACCAGGGATGGCGAGGTCCCGTTTGGGTCTGCGTAGGACGTCACTGTGCTGGACCCCCCAGCAGTCCTCGAAAGTGGCAACCGTTTCACAGATCGCAGCCCCCCAGGGATGGCGAAGTCCCATTTGTATCTGCGTAGGACGTCACTGTGCTGGACCCCCCAGCAGGCCTCGAATGTGGCGACAGTTTCACTGATCGCAGCCCTCCAGGGATGGCGAGGTCCCGTTTGGGTCTGCGTAGGACGTCACTGTGCTGGACCCCCCAGCAGGCCTCGAATGTGGCGACAGTTTCACAGATCGCAGCCCCGCAGGGATGGCGAGGTCCCGTTTGGGTCTGCGTAGGACGTCACTGTGATGGACCCCCCAGCACCCCTCGAAAGTGGTGACAGTTTCACAGATCGCAGCCCCGCAGGGATGGCGAGGTCCAATGTGTATCTGTTCTCGACGCCACAAGGGGTGTGCTGGGGGTGGGGTCCTTCTCCGTCGTACGTTCGCAAAGTGTGGCAGGGGTGGCATTTTCTCGACGCCACAGGGGGGTGTGTTGGGGGTGGGGTCCTTAGCACTAGTGCGCTCGCAAAGTGCGGCAGGGGTGGCATTTTCTCGACGGCACAGGGCGTGTGCTAGGGGTGTAATCCTTATCCGCCGTGCGCTCGCCAAGTGTGGCAATAGGTGGCAGTTTCTCGACACCACGGGGGGGGGCTGGGGGTGTGGTCCTTATCCGTCGTACGCTCGCAAAGTGTGGCAGGGGTAGCATTTTCTCGATACCACTGGAGGTGTGCTGGAGGTGGAGTCCTTCTCCGTCGTACGCCCGCAAAGTGTGGCAGGGGTGGCCTTTTCTCGACGCCACAGGGGGGGGTGCTGGAGGCGTGGTTCTTACCCGTCGCACTCTCGCAAAATGCGGCAGCGGTGCAGTATGGTGGCAGTTTCTCGATGCCACAGGGGCTGTGTTAGGGGTGGGGTCCTTCACCGCCGTGCGCTCGCAAAGTGTGGCAACAGGTGGCATTTTCTCGACGCCACAGGGGGGGGTCCTTATCCGTCGTGCGCTCGCAAAGTGTGGCGAGGGCGGCATCTTCTCGAAGCCACAGGGGGCGTGCTGGGGGTGGGGGCGCTATGCGTTGCAGGCTCGCAGGGCGTGGCATTTCCTCGACGGCACAGGGGATGCGCTGGGGGTGGGGGCGCTATGCGTTGCAGGCTCGCAGGGCATGGCAAGCGTAGCATTTCCTCGACGCCACAGGGGGTGCGCGGCGGGTGGGGGCGCTATCCGCCCTGGTCGTCCACGGCACGGCAGGCGCCGTACTTGTTTCACCACCTAGCATCATCCACGTATGTTGCACGTCGGCCATGCTAAAACAAGAGCTCAAACGAAGTATGTGGGATTCCTCGGTAGCGTAATTGTTTCTCGGTTTCTGAGATATTCTGGCGTTCTCGCCGTTTCGGCATCCCGACGCCCCAAGACGGCCGAAGATGCCACCAAGATCGGCACGAGAGGCCCCCAAGAGGCTTCCAAGACGGCCCCAGTAGCCCCAAGAGGCCCCAAGGCGGCCCTGGAGGCCTCCCAGGCGGCCTAAGAGGCCCCCAAAACGGCTCCAAGAGGGTGCCCACACCGGAGCCCGAGCGAACATGTCGAGCCATCGGCTCCGAGAAGCTCCCGGGAGGCCCCAAGAGGCCCCCAGGAGGCCCCCGCGAGGCCCCCAAGAGGCCCCCAAGAGGCCCCCAGGAAGCCCGAGGGGACCCCCAAGAGGCTCCCAAGAGGCTCCCAGGATACTCCCAAGAGGCTCCATGACTGCCTCCAGAAGCCTACGAGCGCGCTCCGAAGAGGCCCCACGAAGCATCCCGGAGGACTCTGCCCCACGTCGGCTTCGTCGTCGTCGCCGACGCCGCCGTCGTGGTCGCCGTCCCCCTTCAGGGTCGGCGGCACCGGCCGCGAGGCCTTCCCCTTATCCGACGTGCTTTCTGTTCAAGGTGTTGGATGTGGCCGCGGCCATCTTGTAGCGTTGCGGACGTGCGGCGGTCACAGACCCGTGTTGGCGGACATGCTGTGTGACCCCTCTCGGGGGCCCTCGGGGGGAAACCACCGGAAGCCCAACGGGGCTGGTGAAACCCCGTGTTGGCCATGACGGCCGCTCCAGCACAGAACCCTTACGACGCGAACAGAGATGGACGGCGGCATGTGTCTGGCGGCAAGATCCTGACTCTCCCGAGCCCTGGGCAGGGGACGCACCTGCTTCGGCTGCGCTTCTTCTTCTTACTGTTATTCTCATTATGTTTAATATTAGTATGACTATTATTATTAGTAGTAGTAGTATTATTATTGTTGGTCTTCACTCGTAGTATCAATAGCATTACCATTCTTATAAAACAAAATATTGCTATTGTTGGTATTAATATTATTAGTCTTATTAGTAGTATTGATAATAATAGTTATTATAGTACCATTAGTATTATTAGTATCAGTAGTAGTAGTAGTAGTAGTAAAAAATAGTATTACTAGTATCAGTATTAGTTGTACTATTATTATGGTTATTAATAGTATTAGTATTATTAGTAGTAGTAGTAGTAGTAGTAGTAGTAGTAGTAGTAGTAGTAGTAGTAGTAGTAGTAGTAGTAGTAGTAGTAGTAGTAGTATTATTGATAATATTATGAATAATATTATGAATATTATTATTAATATTATTATTACTATTATTATTTCGACCGCGCTTCTTGTCCTTCCTCCTCCTCCTCCTCCTCCTCCTCCTCCCCCTCCTCCTCTCCCCCGAGCCCTGGGCGCGGGGACGCACCTGCTTCGGCTGCGCTTCTTCTTCTTGCTCCGGCTTCGACTGCGCTTCTTGTCCTTCTTCCTCGCGGGCGGGGCGGCCAGTGGGCGGCCCTGGCCCCTGGGCACGCAGGCGGCGGGTGCCAGCGGGGGAGGTGCAGCAGGGAGGGCGAGGCAGGGAGAGGCAGGGGGGAGGGGGGGAGGAGGGAGGCAGGAGGCAGGAGGCAGGAGGCAGGA